TGTACCTCTGGTGCAAATTACTGACCTCTGTCATCATTTTAAGTGGGGGAACTTGCACAATCGGTGGCTGACTAAATACTTTTTTGCCCCACTGTACGTACCTGGGTCCGCCTACTACACTTGCAAAGGTAAAATGATTGGCTAGAATTCAAAGTGTGTGACATCTCAGGGGGGAAAAAGCACCGAAATATGCGCTGCTTTTCGGTCTGGTTACTACCGTTTATGTCAGAACTGGTACCATAATGGCACCAGATACCGGTGGGGCAAAAAAATACTTTTTTTTTACAGTGGGGCAAAAAAATACTTTTTTGCCCCACTGTATACGTCACTACCAAGCACTTATTTGCACAATGTCATACACACGCGCACAACCACGCACATCAAGTTACTCTTTGCACACTGCTCAGTCTTTTGCACATTTCTGTTGCACTGTCTTGTGTCTGTATCGTTCTGTACCGTCTGGCATTGCACTGTTTTTTTGTGCATGTTTTTTTGTGAAAAACTTGTAGCATGCAGCACCATGGTCTTGGAGGAACGCTGTCTCGCTTCACTGTGTACTGAACCACTGCACATAGTTATAATGACAGTAAAGCCATCTGACTTGACTAAGTAAAAAGTACTGTATTAAAAATCATACCTTTCATAATGCTTAATTATGAAGAATTATCATACAGGTTTTAAAAACATGGAATTTAGAATCACTCAAAAAATGTGACTGATTGAAAATATTAATACAATTTAGAATAAATTTAAAGATATGTGTTTTTATCTATGTATGGCATATTTCTGAGTTGAAGTTTTATTTTTTTAAAGCCTACATTGGCTGTTTTACTGCAACTGCTCTGTACTTTGTAATGATACCTAGCATTTATTAAATGTTCTACTCTACAATCTTACCTGGCTAAATCTAGGCCAACTGAGTTGATGCGAGGTGATCTCAGGGTCATACATATTACTTCAAGCTAAACTCATACAGCTATTTATTGTAGCATTTATTTTAATAACATATTTACTAATTTGAACAAATGGGTTTTAAGGATGAAGGGAAGTTTAAACAAAAAGCCTAAGCCTAGACGTAATTCCAATTTCCGAAATTCAGCAGTAGTGCTACATGTCGCCAAGAGTTCAACATTTTCTCCCTCTGTACCTGGATAGAGCCTGCCTGCAGCACCAAAGGACTCCATGAGCGCTGGCTATCTCTCTTTAGCAGCACCTGTCCCTCTCATCCTCTTTATTCAGTGGACGATGATCGTCCATCGTCCACTGAATGAGTGAGCACACGTGAGCCTGAGGCATTTATACAGCCGTGTTTCGCATGTTTCGTGTATTGCTATGACAGGAGGAAGAAGAAATGGTACCTATTAATCATTTAGACAATCCCAATAATATAGTTATTTTCCACTGTGTTCCTTTTTATGATCAACTACAAATTTACCCCAAATTATGAAAATATAAATATTTTAATATGATAATCAACTCTAGAATATAAATATCCAATATCGGAGGAATTGATATTGCAGTACTGAGCCATATGACCTACATTTTTCCCCTCGTGCCGGCCCATCACTCCCAGGTGTTTTAGGGGTGTGGTACTATGAGAGTTGAGCTGCAATTGTGTGCATAAGGTTTGAAACTAACTTTTGGGACCCAGAGCATCACACCTCTCATGGGAAAGGAATCCGAGCTAGTGTGATTGAGACAAACTGGCTAGACTGGGAGTGAGGTCACTGAAGCGGTTAAACAGCTCCTTGGTGGCGGGACCAATGGGGTGAATGAAAGCCATGCTGAGTTTCTCGCGGTTCTGGATGTTGTCTGGCTTTTTTGGCTGAGATCCCTCTGTAATGTTGCATGGAAGTTGGGATTATGTCCTTTTTTAAGAAGGGGTAATTGAAGAGTGTGATCTAATAGGGGGGATAACATTTCTCAGTCTCCATGGGTAGGTTTAAACCAGGGTACTGGAAAGGAGACTTTGCCTGACTGAGGTGCTTTGGAAAACAGGACATTTAAAAAACAAATAAACGAAAAACTACTTTTCAGACTCTGAAACAAAGGGATTTCACTTTTGTTTAGCTTACAATGGGAACTTTAAATGAAAGATAAAACTATAATATAAATAAAACAAAGAGTTTAAACATTGCATTTCAGTTTCTTTCACTATAAACAACTACACAGTGAACTGAATGAAAACTTTTTCAGCCGTCATGATTCTTGATAATTAATTTAAATTTTTTATGAAGCACCAATATAATGTTATACTAGA